ATTTTCAAATAGCAGTTTTGCTTGAGAACAGCTATAGCTTTCACTGTCCTCTGTCGATTGCTGGAAGCCACAAGACTATATCTTTTATCGTTTTTGAGTTGTTCAAAAAATGGCAACCGGTCTTATACTTTGGCGCCGATAGTAGGTGAGTATTTTTTCATTGAATTAGAAGACGACTTTTTCTCTTTAATAAATTTTTCTAAAAATGCATATATGTCTAACAACATGTGTTTCGGGCATGTAAAACACTCCAGTTCTGTAGTAATTTACCTGAATTTGAGTTTTGTCTGCAACATATAATTTCATCGCAAGGAATTTGATGTTTGAATTTATAGTACTATACTATGATATGCATTCGGGAGTTTTGATACGCCCTAATACAAATAAGTAGACCGAAGGTTTAAATGTAATCCGCTTTTACCTTGAACCTCACACGCGCACGACTATTTCCTTCACCCTTTCCATATCAAGTTTAGTTTGATTAAAGATTTACTTTTCATTGTTGTTAGAGATAAGACCTCATAGTCAATAAATTACTCAATGCAAATATTAATATAAAAAAGTCAATATGTGCAATTTGTCAAGTCTGTTTCTCGAGATATATAACTCATTCTACATTTTTATACAGTGGCGGCCGAAATTATTTGTACGCTTTTTCTTTTAATCATAATTCGGTAACGAAAAAAGCTTTTAACAAGCGGTTTGCGCCAAAATATTCTCCATCTCTAGTATACTTGTAGATAAAAGAAGTTAGAAATATTCAGTTTTGCTCTTTGTAGGTCCATTAGACCAAAAAATGAACATTTTCTGGCGACCGAAATTATTTGTACGGTTGATAAAAATCCTTTTCTACGCTGTATAAGCACCGACAAAATATGAAACTACATCAATCGATAGAAGAGAGTGCGGGCTATATTTTTGTAAAAGATAATTTTGAAAAGCTTTTTCCTTAGAGTGAAAACGCGACTTTAAGCCTACAGTAGCATACTCTTCAGTATGATTGCTGCATCTCGAAATGAACGGGTGAAAAATAAATTCTGATTAAACCATTCGAAAGAGCATCAAAAATTGTGTAAAATAAATATAGTCTGGAAGTTAAGTGAAAGAATTTGATCCATCTTTTTTTGGATCCTAGGGCTATTTTCGAAATATCTTTCCTACACGGGAGGATAAAAGTTTTTTGGATATCTTAGCGGTTATCATGTAGTCAAGTTACTGTATAGAAGTATGAAAAGAGAAACTTAGACTGTTTAAGTTCAGAGAGAAAAACGGGTTTCTGCATTATTACCGGCTTTTCACCCATCAAACACATTTTCCATCAAAAACTAACGTCATATTTGTGCTCAGCGTCAAAAGCTGCGCTTAGTGATTTGTCACTCAAAGTTTAGCAAAACGTTTTGTATTCGCAAAAATTTTGCTTGGCGAAAATGCCTTTATTTAATACCTGTCTGGTATTAAATTATAGGTATATTTTATGAACAGTACAAATACCTTTTGCCGCCGGAAAACGTTCATTTTTCGGTCTAATGGACCTACAAAGAACAATAATAAATATTTCTAACTTTTTTTATCTACAAATATACTAGAGAAAGCGGAGAATATTTTGGCGCAAACCGCTTGTTAAAAGCTTTTTTCGTCACCGAGTTATGAGTAAAAGAAAAAGCGTACAAATAATTTCTCCTGCCACGTATATGTATTTGTATTGCTTCTTGAATAGTACCATTACAATGACAAATTTATTTGATCTACTACGAACACATATTATTAATGGTAGTATTATTGAAGGTCAGGCCTATAGTAAATATCAATGTGATGGTATCCCGGATATTAATTTAATGATAGAACATGGTGAAATTAATTCACAAGATGAATTAATACCAACATCATCCATACCTGGTTTTGTTTATGTCAAATGGAATTCAACAACACTCGGAAAGCTTCCATATCAAATACATCCACTACAAAATATTCGTTGTATATATCAGTTATCAAATGACAATAAAAGAAAATCAAAAGCATGTATAGATTATTATTTAAAGCATAAACATACAATTGATGCAAAATTATCGGTTCAAAATGTGAACGCTCTATACAGACAATATGACGATGACTACGATTGTGTGCCATCATTGAAACTCAATTTTTGGCCAAAAGATGTAAAATCCTCATTGGAACGTATAAAACAGGCATATAAAACGAAAAAGCCATTATTGTTTGATAAATTAAATTCATCCTATATGCATGTAATACAGAAATGGTCAACAAAAAGTGATGAGAAGTACAAAAATATTGAATTTCGTTATTCATTTTCAAATGTTGAAAAATTATTGGCACACGAACGTACATTAAATGAAAAAATTCTTAATGGTATAGCACGAAGTATCTTCTATAAATATTTGTATAAGAAAGGTTATATACCATCATATTTTATAAAAACAACCGTTTTATGGATGTGTGAATTGTATGACTTTCGTTCATTTGACGACACAAATTATGATACACTTGCACAAACATTGGGTGCCATATGGATTGATTTTGCATGCGATCAATTAAAGTCGTATACATGTGAACATTATTTTATTCATGGTTTAAACATTTTAGAATTATATCCAAAAGAAATATTAGATGAATCGAGAAAAATACTTGAAAATGATGCTCACAAAGAACTAGATACACTTCATTCTCATTCGGATAACGAGGATGATATTAGTCATAAACAATTTTATTTTGTTGGAGATCTAAATAAGGGAATGGATCAATTACTTCTAGACGAAGAACAAGCACATTTGGATTACATCGAATTAGAATCAATGTTTTATTCTAGTAGTGATAAAAGGCCGGGTATACTCGATCATTTGGTATTATTACAAACACTTGCCGCTTCTGATGGTGAAGAAAATAATTGGCTTCTATGGAAAAAATTGTTTTTAGATGATTCTATTAATCTATTGCCACCAATACGTGAAGAAGAACAAGTACATAGTCTCATTACATTTATGGGTTCACTTGGCGGTGCGAGTAAGTATCCTGTTTTCTTTATGACATATATGTATCAGCTCTTTTCTTTAGCTATATTTTTGAAAGGTTTTACAGAGGAAATTTACATTACTGGTAATGAGCGTACATTATACACTGATGATAATATTCATCTTGACACAAGTACTATGATAAATGCTATGGTGTTAGTAAACGATCTCTCAATATATCCAAATAATAATAATCGTGCCTTAGCATTTACCACATCACAAGAAACAGATTCGCCCCAAAATTCAGTATTATCAAACCACCCTCTTGGACTACAAACGACAGATGATCGATCTTTACCATTATTATTCTCAATACCACCAGATGAAGATGATGTTGATCCTGAAAAGTATGACAAACAATTGACTGATCAGTTGCGACACTATCAAGAAGAAACTCCATGCCATAAGCGAAATGACGTTCATCCCTCTACACCCTTGGTCCATGCTAGTTTATTACGCATCCGCGCGTTTGGTACATCATGTTTTACAGGTGAAAATCTTTCACCGTCAAATACTTTATGTGACCATGACGTCGCTAAACTTTATGATGACTTTATCAATTGTCTTATTCACGTGGCAGGGGTAGTTGGTGAGCCTACATCAAAGATTGACGATGCTCAACAATCTCAAAAAGATTATAGCACATTTGATCTCGAATGGAAAGGTAAAAGTGGTATTGATACAATATCTGAAATTATTCGATTGTTGCCGAAACTTGAAATAAAACTTAGTCGATACACGCCACTTCCACCCATACAATCGTCAGTCATTGATTTCAATAGCTTAAAGGAAAAACCTGATCTTGTTATTAAAACATCATCACGACATCATTTTTCTCGAATGGGCGGTGGCAATAATATTCTCATGTACGATGATAATAACAAAATATGTGTTGTAAATAAACTGACAAAAAAGTTGTATAAAATGTCATGGTTATATCGGCCGTTTCGTACAATTCCAGAAAAATTTTTATCCAATGGTATAAATGATATATGCTACAATTTAAGAACAAATTGTTTTAACATTTTTACATTTCGCACCAGTTATTTTTTCAATCCTTATGGCATGTGTATATATCCGGGTAAAATCCGACCAATAAACTATGCAAAGAAGCATCATAATGTATTTATGAGTTGTACAAGTGATCAACATTCACTTTTCATTGCTTATTTTGGTAGAGGTGGTCCTATTTTAGAACTTCATCTAAGTGAGCCAATACAGAGAAAATTATGGAAGTCACCGCAGTCGTGTAAAACAACAGCATCAGTTAAATGTATTCGTCTTTCATCTGACGGTAAATATTTGGGTGTATTATTATATTCACAACCATTACTGAAATCTAATGATGGTACATTTAGATTATGTGAAATTGATTACAGTTTCGAATTACGAGATCGAGAAATGATAGTATTAAAGTGCTTAACCGAATTATCATCAAACTGTTGCGGCTTATTATCACTTTCACAACATTGTTGGCTCCTTGTTCAATCTGATAAACTCTTGTTGATTGATCAATACATTAAAATTCAAAAAATATTTGTTTATAAACAGCATGGTAGAATAACAAATGTTGCACTAATTAATCCACATTGTTTGGCTATTCGAACACAAAGTGAAATTCGTTTTTATTCTGTTTGATTGCATATTACTGTTTTTACCATCCAGTCACACGTGTTACTGCCATATTTTGAATTTATGAGTCTGTTTGTTTCGAATTGCAAAGTATGTGCTTATTTTTCAAAAGAATAAAAATTTAAAATGCCTCTCACAGATAACGCAAAAAACAGTCTGTTCTATACATCGAACAGCAAATGGACGAATTTAACACGCCAGATTCACCCGTTCAGACCCTTGTGAAACTTCTTGATTCAAGAACCTGCAAGAAAGCACGAAAAAAACAAGAAAGTGAGACGCTTCTTGCGGCAAGAAATGTTTCTTGCTTTTTTGTCTCAAGATCTTGGGCCAAGAAATGTAAGAAAACACTTCTTGCATTTCTGATCCAAGATGTTGAGACTAGAAAGCAAGACGTACCTTTCTTGCCCTTCTTGCCTGCAATAAGATTATTTCTTGCGTTTCTTAAGGCAAGAAATAGGTCCTTGCAAGACAGCAAGAAATATTTCACTCGTTCTTCGATTTCTTTTATCCTATGGTCATTTCAATTTCGGTTATAGAAAAAGCACGGCTTCTTGTAAAAGATAAATGTGTATTTGTTGCTCTCTATATCAATTGTGCGGCCAATGGGTTCAAAAACGAAATGCACTTCGTAGCGTGCAAACTGTTGTTTTAACACTATGAAAAGACTCCAGTTCGCTTCAGTCTTTCAATTTGTAAATGCACACTCAAAAATATAAGACCGGTTGCCATTTTTTGAACAACTCAAAAACGATAAAAGATATAGTCTTGTGGCTTCCAGCAATCGACAGAGGACAGTGAAAGCTATAGCTGTTCTCAAGCAAAACTGCTATTTGAAAAT